AGATGGCTCAGTGGTTAAGAGCACTGACTACTCTTGCAGAGGACCCAGGTTCGATTCCCAGCACCCACATGGCGGCTACAAACCGTCCTTAGTCCAGTTCTAGAGGAATCCGAAGAAGCCCTCCTCTGACCTCTGCGGCATTGCACAACACGGGTGCCCTCACATACATGCGGGCAATACACTCATACATATAAAATAAAATAAAAAATAAAGAAATTGGAGAATGATTCTTGGTGAAAGTTCAATAGAGAAGCATTGAGATAGGTTTTATTTTTTAAAAAATCCTTTAATAACTGTGTACAAACAGCACAGATTCAGAGGCAGAGCTCTGAACAGCAACAACAGCCCACAGGACAAAAGAATTCCTTGTTCTCAATGTATTTCTAAAGACCAGTGATCTCCAAGTTAGTATAGCTTATGCCACAAGATATACTTACAGGTGACAGGTAAGGATGTGGGTTATAATTCAAGCTGTCTTGTACATGCTTTTCCTGCCCTGCTTGGGTCTGAAGTGCCTGTGTGCTCAGCAGACAGTGTCAGGGACTATGGGCTCTTTGTTGCTTTTTCTGGAGAAAAAGAGCCAGGTATTGTCACATTATTATGCCAACATATCACTATCTGAACCAAAGAAAAGCCTAACTCTTAAATATAGTTTCTAATAGTGGGTCTGAACTCGGAGGACATTCATTCCCGTAGATATTTCTTGGAAGTGTAGTGTCTCATGGCACTATAGTCATGGAACTGTCTGCTGGCACCGTGTCCCTGGAATTGTGTCTGGAGTCTGGCACCACACATACTTTTATTCAAAATGGTTTCTCCAGCTTCAACTGGGGAAGTACAAGCTTGGCTCCACTCTAATCTCATCAGATCATCTGACATTTTATCCCTACTTTTAGACCAGCTCAACTCATTCAAGGTTAATAGTTTTTTCCAGTCTCCACTGTGCTCAATGGAGATGGGTGGACCACTTTTCAGCACTTTGATATGTTAATTCTGAAGCACAGCCTCATTCATTCATTCATTCATTCATTATCTTTTTGGGTGCAGTACCAAATTGAGGTTGCCTACAAAATGAGATTTAAAAAAAAAAAAAGCCTGGGTCACAAGACAAAAGAACACATGATTTTGCTGGGGTTAATTAAGTCATTAGTCCAGATTATGTCCATTTACAAAAGTCATTCTCACATGGTTTCAGGGGGCCGTGGGTAGATCCCTTCAAAGCACCTGGCTTGTAAAGGGCTCATTCTGGAAAGTCTGTGATTTATCAGGCTCAGGAAATTATTAGACACACCAAAACAATGAAAGGATATAAGTCTCTCAGCTGAGTCCGATGAAGAGGCAGACACCTAACACTATAGTCATGAGGGCCACCACCAACCTGTCATCTGACCATACCATGATGTGTGTATCAAGGACCACAGGCAGAGGACTCCTGGCTGTCGAGGGGTTTCAGCTGGGCTTGGTCCCTACTGTTGGCCTGGCGTACTTGATTTGCAGTCTACACATCTTCCTGTTTACTCTCTGGACCTGCCTTCTATCCATCCACTGACTGTTTGAATGTGGTCCTGTCCCTTCTTCTCTGGCTGGACTCAGCTCTGCAGTGCTGTTCTCAGTCTTCTGACCCACAGTGTCCTCACTCACAGCCACCACTGCTTCTCACTTCTCCAGCTCCCTGGTGTTTGTTGTCTTATCAGTACAGGACTCTTCCATTCCTATGAGTTTCCAGCTTTGACTATTCAGGCCTTTTTGAAACTCCCTGAAACCCCTGCCCCTTAACCCTTTGTAACAGTCTTACACCTACTTATACACATTGGCTAAGGACTATTTAATGTGTGATCTGAGAGCTAAATTAGTAGCTATGTTAGGAATAATTTTTTTTAAAGTCTGTGTTTGCCTTGGCCAAAGATGTCAAAGAAAGTGGCAACATCTGGAAAATCGATACTGAATAAATCTTGACAATGTGGAAAAACACAAGCAAGTTCATCTCTGTTTCTAACAGTGTGCTCATGGAATAGTGCATGTGTGGCTGCTCATTTAGAATCCCAGAAACTGTAAAATGGAGAAGGAATGAGATGCCCAGAGGACATCAGCAAAGTTGCTCTATTTTCTGACTATCCCTCATAGCACTGGAAGGTGCTATACAAACTAACAATGGAGAAAAGCAATCAGTAGTCCCACCCAGCTATGAAATCTATAAATCACAACAGTGACCAGCTCAGAAAAATATCCCTAATGGTGGCACTTTTATCTTGGGGGTAACCAAGAGCTGTTTAATAGAACCTAAGACCTGTTCAGTAGGAGGGCATTCAGGCCTGGAACTGTATAGCTAGACACCTACCCATGGACCCTAGAGAGAACCTACTATTTCTACTTTCCTAAACCAACACAGCTTCTAGTTATATTTGAAATGCTTGTCCTCACACCCACCACTTATAAAAAGGCTCATTTTTGCAACAAATGAACCATTATAAAACTCCACAGCTGGTGAAAATATAAAGAAGGGGTTATCATGGGATGTCCAAACTGAACTGATACATCTACAATGTAACCCCAACACCCAAGGCTCAGGGAACACCATGAAAGAGGGCGGAAAGATTGTAAGAGTCAGAGGACCCAGACACCTGCTGCTAGATAGTGTCTTTTAAACATGACAGGGAAGTTGCACCAATTAAATCTTAACAGTATGATTGCCTAAACATGACCTGCATAAGGACACCACCAGTTGAAATGTCATTGTGGATAAAGGAAATTTCCCAAGGTCCCACTTCTGCATGAATAGCTATAGGCAATCAATAGCTACTAAGAGAAAAAGGAGTTTTCTTCAGAGTCAAGTTCCCTGACAGGTTATCCAAATCTAAATGGTGAGCCCTAAACAAATGTACATATAAGAATCACTAAATGTATGCAATAGATTATAATATATGTATACATATACATATGTGTGTAAAAATAATAAAGAGTCAAGAAATTGAGAATGAGTGGGGGTGGTATGGGAAGAGTTGGAATAGGGAGACAGGGGGATAGAAATGATGTAATATGAAATTCTCAAAAAAAAAGTCCCTCATTTTTCAAAGGAGGAAATTGAGACATATGAAGACTGACTGTTTTCCCATGAATAAACTGTAGAAGGAGGTAATTTTTGCAGAGAAAATGGGGAAATACTGTGGAGGTTAGGGACAGAGAGAAGCTGCCTATGGTGGGGACCTCAAGGCCTGCTATGATGGGTTTTATTCTTGAACATCACTTTCCTGTTTTCTAGAGACCCGTCGTCCAGGGTCTAATAAAGGAAGTGAACACAGTGGCCTTCTTCCTCTCTCCTTTTATCTGACAAGAGGAACTCAAGCCTCTACATGAAAGACCAGCCATTGTCTCTGGATGGTCTCTCCTTAGCTACCTCAAGCTAGCCCAGACAAGTCCGTCCTTTCTAGCACCTTCAAAGCTGCTTTCTTTCACGATGTTGGATAAATCAGCTTTTCATTGAATAACAACTCAGGACAGAAAAACTTCATGGTCTTCAACTTGTTGGTTTCTGAACTATTAAAATTTCTTTGGTCTAGCTCTAGGAAAGTAAAGGGGGGCTTTGGTTTGCTGTTCTCCACTTCACTGGGATATTTTGTTTGTTGTCTGAAATAGAGAAGGGGTGAAAACTTCCTAACACACAGTGTCACCTGATCTAGTTTGTGGTCATTTTCTTTCCACTGATCGTACCCAGCAAGGATTTTGCATTTTCTTTTTTAAAAAATTTATGTTATGTGAATGAGAGTTCTGCCTCCATGTATGTAAGTGTATCTGTATATGTAATGCCTGTGGAAGCCAGAATGGGGTGCCAGATACCTTGGAACTAGAGTTATTGACAGTTATTAGCCACTACATGGGTGCTAGGAAGTTAAGCTGGCTCCTACACATAAGCAGCCAGTGTTCTTAACCACTGAGCCATCTTGCCAGCTGCAGATTCTGCCATTTCTAACCCCCTGTTTAAAATGCTCTGCCAGGCCTCAGTGAGTTCAGACTTGTCCTAGGAATAAAACAATCTTATAGGCCAATTACAAATGAGAATCACAGCCCATATAGCCAAGCCCTATGTGAAAAGGATGGGGACAAATATCTACTACATGACTGAAGGCAAGAATCTACAATGAGGAAAGAAAATCCCATTTGCTCCCAAACCTGCTTCCAGGGTTTGGTTATTCATAATTTACCTGGCTCTGAGTCCAAGTTCAATGTCTAGGTACCACATGTAAATTATAGAAATTGCTTCAGCACCCCTTGTTCAGCCTTCCTGTAATTAGGAATCATCCTTGCCCTGCTGACTTTCAGGAGGAGCACTAGAAGGAGAGAAAGATACAGCAAATACAGACTTTCCAAATGGGAGAGCATTTACCACCATCCTTTCTGCCTTTTCTGGGTCCATTTCTAACTCCTATTCATGTTTTATGTCACTTTCAGATGAATTGTCTCAACAGACCAGCAGCCAATGTACATCTATAAAAGAAGGAAGTGCTGACACACTAAAGGGTACAACGTTAGAGCAATTGATTTTTATCAATATGTCACTTCAGATCCACTGATTTCTATGATCGTTACAAGTACATTCACTCAGGGAGGAATCATCATTCTCTTTGCAATTTTCAGGTGAAAAGATGTATCAATGACCACATAAATGATTTTCCCAGCACCAACGTGGAGGCCACAGCAGTCCACGAATTTGACTTGATTTCTTGGTCTAATTTCGTGCGTCTTTCCCCAGTCATTCTCATTCTCATTCTGTCACATGTGAGCGGGCACCATGGTTTCAGAGCATGTGTCATTTCTTCTTGCTGTCCTTTCTCTTCTCCACCATCACAGCCTAGGGACAGCGCAGATGCGGTGGCTGGCTGGGGCGAGGGTGATGGCCATTCTGAACTTCAGGCTCAACTTCTCATTGACAGGAGGCTTGAAGGTAAATTTTTGCACAAGGGCAGTGAAGAAAATGAACAGCTCAGACCTGGCCAACTGTTCTCCAAGGCAAGCTCGCTTTCCTGCAAGATACAAACAAGATGAGTCCATCACGTGCCTCCATGGGCTGGTGTCTCCGGTACCTTTTGAATAAACTCGAGTTGACCCAGGGCTTTCTGTCTAGTTTTCTTTCTCTTTTTCTTTTTTTTTAAATTTATGACTGATATCTGCCCTAGGTCCCCAGAGTACAGAATGTGAAAGTCAAAGATCACAAGTCAAATGCATTCAGGGATCAGGGAGGTCTTGGAACAATAGAACCTAGTGCTGACTGAGAAAGTGGGTGACTATCTTTTTTAAAAAATTTTATTCATTTTTCTGTGTATGAGTATTATGCCTGCATGTATGTAAGGGCACCTGTCTCCTACAGTGACCACAGAGGTCAGAGGAGGCTGTGGTTCCCCTGGAACTAGAGTTATGGACAGTTTTAACCACCATGTAGGTGCTGGGATTCGAACCTGGTCTTCTGCAAGAACGTCTAGTGCTCTTAATCACTGAACCATCTCTCCATCCCAGTGGGTGACTATCTTAAAGGCTTTACAATCTGACACAAAAATATAAGTGACTTACCAGGTAATGGCTCAGTAGCAAAATCATGGGATGTTTTCCTGTGCTTAAAAGGAATCTCCAAAATAGAAGCAGATATTGCAGCACGTTTCTGATTTGAAAGACATCCTTGTCCTTTGCTTTCAAACCTCCTTCACCTTGAGTGACGTCAGTTACACGGATGGCCTTCCATATCTGTCCTTGGAATATCTGACTTCATACATGTAAACTCTGTTTCTACTCTAAGATCTCTCCAGGCTCTCACTGTCCTTTCCTGAGGGAGCATGTGCTCCAAGCCCTTTTCCCTACAGTACCCGCCACAGTCACTACCACCATCCTTATGTACATTGTTGATAGCTGCTGTACTCCTGAGAAATGTTCGCTAAAATAGCAATAAAAGGAAAAACATAAAGAAGAGAATACACCCTTTTAGAGGTCCATAGTGCAAACAAAAACTGATCATGATGACATGCAATCTCATGCTTCTCCTGGGGATTCTCCTCAGCATCTTAACAGCCATTATTCTATGTTAATTCTATCATTCACTTTAGCAACTTTCTATTTTTCCATGAATGAAATATCATTCAAAAATAGACCATGCATTAATACTTCCATTTTACTATTCACATTCCACAGTTTGTTGAAGAAATTAAATGAGATGATACAGGCAAAGCTGTTCAGTAACTGAGTCACAATAATGTATATGTCTTTATATTTTGTGCCCATATTTCAGGCTAACATGCCTAATTCATCTCTGGTCCCTTCATCTTTATCCTGTTAACAATGACAAATAGTATGCTGGGAACTTGTTAGATTGGTTCTCAGTCAGGTGTGGTGTAAATTCCCAAGACTCTCCTAGACTTCATCTCTCATGAAAAAACTGCACCTGTAAAGTTAAGAACCAGTTCAGGAGCTGGTTTTTTCAAAGGCCACTGTGTGACTTTGAATAAACTATTCATTTTTACATAGTTAAATCTTTCCCACTTAACAAATATGAGAACAAAATAGGATCTTTCCTACATAAGTTCCACATCTGGTTAATCATCATAATTTGACAGCAGGTATAAACATGGTTTTGAAAGGATGAAAACCAGGGCTCTTCCATGCAAAAGCTTTTGCCTAAATTAAAGAATAGGTCCGGTCCAACATCAGAAGCTAGAATAGACCTTTCCCTCTTTCAAACTCTTACCTGGTATTTTGTTATAGTGATAGAAAGCTGGCTAACATTGCCTGAGTCAAAAGATATACAGACCACCTTCTTACCATAAAGTACACATGGAAATCACCACATTACTAAAATGAGAGAAATGGATCATTTTTTGTCAATGTCCCTCCCAAACCTAACTCCTGTGATCTAGTGGTTTCATTTGTTAATGAGGAAAGAAGCTTTGGTCTAACATAAAGCTGCCAGCTACACAGGTCTGTAAACAGGCAAGACTTCAAGGATTAAGATGTACTTTGCAAGGAACAGATAATAATCCATCTCTAGTTATCTTTGCCAAGAGAAAAGAAGCTGATATGTGCATTTAGTCCTCCAGGGAGCTGCCTCTATGAAGCTCTAGAGAAAGAGTAAAGAAAGCAGCTGAGTGCCCAAGTGAGAGAGAAACAGGAAATCCAGACAGCTTCTACACAGCGCTAGCCATGGAGTAGCTCAGGTTTGTAGCTTCTTCTCAATTCGGCTGGGATTCATGCCGAGACAGTGGTAGTTCATCCTCCTCCATTAGAGGGCAATGATGAGGATAAAACCATACTTTGAGGCCTATACTAATCTGGTCAGAGGGACTTAAAGGACAGTTTTCGCTCCTTGCCCTCCAAGGTCAACTAAGTTCCAGAGGACTATGGAGCATCTCTCAAAATGTCCTGTAACTGTGGTGAGTCACCTGTCCTCTTGATCAAGGAGGCCATGGAGATCCCACCAATGGACTTGAACCAGTATCCAGTCTAGAAAGAGGAGGGTCCACTCAGAGGAAATATTTCTTCCATGCTTCCAAGTGAAGCCAGCCAAGGTGGAGCAGGACCTTTGACTTATCTTCACATAGATGGAACTGGTAAAAGGGAGGAGCCAGAGGCCCCTCCCAAGCCCATGTGAACCCTGAGGAATAGATCCTCCAATTACCTGAAGAGTAAAAATAAATTCATTTCTCTGGGTCAACTGTATGGTCTTAAATACCCAAAGGAAAGTACAACCAAAGATTAAAGTGATCAGTATACTTCTTTAAGAGTTCAAGGGATTACAATTCCCAGACATTAGGCTTAAGTCAATATAAAATATTATTGAGACAATTATTTCTCATTGATGATTTTGTTTCTAAGCAGAAAGTGCTGCTCAGATGTAAGACTTTAATCTTGTTGTACAATACTATAGTGCCAACCTGTAGCTAAGGGAGATAACCCACTATTGTTCTAAAAAGCCAGCTAAATTTGTTTTCTCTCCCTATCTAGAAGCCTTTGAGAGGGAACTGATGCTGATTCTAGCCACTCCAACAACTCTAAAGGTACCTGAAAACAAATTTTTAGTTCATTACTCTCGAGTCCAGCCTTGGCAGACAAAAGAAAACTGAGGAGGAACCCAATACAGGGATGCTTTTGGAAGATCTGTCAAGAAATCCCAATAGACTCTGATATGAATATTTGAAGTTTGCCCTGTTCTGACTTTTTTCTGGTTCTCCGTCTAGAACTTTTAAGGCTAACTATTCTTGCTTTTACTTCTCCTTCACATCCCCTATTCACCAGTCAAGGACTTTCTTTTCTCCCTACAGATAAGAGTTATGCAATATGGGAGTCTTTTAGATAGACCCACTAAAGGGGTACCCAATTGCCTCACCCTGCTTCCCTGTTCAGCATGGAAGAAGCCATAGTAGTCTGCATCCTGATTTCCTACTGCAATTTGGGTAACCTCTGCAAAAGATGGTGTGATAAGAACAGGAGGTACAAATTGGCTAGGCAGTTAGGGTAAAAAAGACCCTAAAGAAAATTAGCCAGTTTCTTGGCTAAAACTCAAAACCTCTTTGGGCTTCTTATCAACATACTGTATTCCAAAGGTCAAAAAAGTCAAAAGTATTTGGAAGCTCTTATCTAATCCCTAAAAGGTTGAGCAGGGTTCGAATCCAAGCACCCATATGGCAGCTAATAACTCTCTGTAACTATAATCCCAGGGGATCCGACAGCCTCTTCTGACCTCCTCGGGCATCACACAACACAGGTGCAATTACCTGCAGGCAGGCAATACATGTATACACATTAAAAAAACTATTGTCCCATTTGTCCATTTCTGTTACCATGTGAAGGGGCATTTTAAGAAGAAATTAGGTCTCATATAAACTCTGTGAAGATGGAAGGATGCAGATTTGTTTGTGAGCAGAGTCAGGACTTGGCTCTGTGTTCTCAGCATTGTGCAAATCAGAATAAGAGAAGCTGAAATCTGCATCAGAGGTCACGGAGGGCTTGAGAAAAGGGGTGGTCTGAAGATGTGCCAGGTCCAGGGAACGCTGGGCTGCAACCGAGGGCAAGAGGGGGCCACACTGGGCAGGGCCATCTGGAAGGTTTCCAAATAAAGCAGAGAACTGTGAGGGGAGGAAAAGGAAGGGCGGAGGCAGGATCTCTGAACTCTCTCCTGCTCATCACAACTCACCCATTGAGAATGGCAGAAAAGATTCTCTCTTCTTAAACTGTCCATTCTCCAAAAAATGCTCTGGATTGAAGGTATCCGGGGTGGCCCACTCTTTAGGGTCCCTGTGCAGTCCAGTCAAGTTGATCATGACTATGGTCCCCTAGAGAAGGCAGTGAAGAGTCAAGGCTTAACATGTGGAGCACAGCCACACAGAAGAGTGATGGCTCTCAGACTCCAGTGCCTGAGCCTCTTGACGTCCTGAACTTTCCCACTCTGGCAAATCCACTGATGTGCTGTCTCATGAGCTATCCCATTCACAACTTTCCCTTGATGCACGACATCATACAGTGATGGATTGAAATGGCCTCCTAGGTATTTTACCAAGGCTACTTTTATTTCACAATACAGCTGCTCTACAGGAAGACATCACTTTAGGTCTTGGGAGAGGATCTGTAAGCATCCATGGAACATAATGAACCATGCTACTCATTGCTGTCAAGGACCACGGCAGCTATACAAAGTAAAAGGATATCCTTTTCACCTCTGATTCTCCTTTCTCTTCCATATAGTATCATAGAGATTGCACTCAGTCCCTCCACAATTAGTCATTCAGGAATCTAAGCATGTGTTCGAAGGAACCTTTTCCAGACAGGTACGTGGCAGGATCCCCAGAACAACTACAGTGAGACTTTACCCTGTTCTGCTCATTTATCATCAAGGCTGGCACGTTCTTTAAATCTCCATGAATTCCATCACTTCCATTCCAGTTTCCCACCTGCAGAATGCCACTTTTCTATCTAGATCCCTGCAGACACCAGCCGGCCCTGCCTCTGCTCCACAGCATGAAACCCC